GGTGGTGGTGGTGGTGGTGGAACTAGTCATTTGTCGTAGTAACAGCAATACATTTTGTGAGACACACTGATATGGGATAGCCTGAAGCTATACAAGATGCCGAAACTAGCAAAGCCGATTCGGATCCGGCACTACAAGTATCGTTCAGTGACACACCCTTAAGCGGCCTTTCATCTCCGCCTTGCTATCCAATGCTTCCGAATCCTCGCAAACTGGCCTTGCAACCACTCCTCATGTGCTCACCTGTTGTCAACTCTCTTGTTCTTTTGGCCGCCTTGCTACCAATTCCACTTTTCACCTCCGCGTTCCCATCATTTTTCACCTTCCTGGCAGCCTTTGACCAAGTTTCAGGTGCAGCGAAATCGTCGCTTCCGGCCAAATTCAGGTTTCATACCCTTCCCAACACATCCCAATATCCCCACATAGATGGCAGAGAGTAAAACTGCAGGCCTGTGGGCAGCACGCCCGGAAGGTTGCGGAAAAGCAACTCCAACAGTTGAGCATCCTAGAGAGGAGCGGGTTTTGATATAGCTTGGGAGATCGGACATCTCAGGAGCGGGCTTTCTCAAACGGAATGGCAATCTGCTTGCGTGGCTGTTCTTCCCTCCACACACGGACCCTTAGAGCAATGCGCAGAGTTCAAAACGACGTCCTTCTCAGAGATGAGCTCGTTCTGGAGATATGCAAATCTGCTTCGGCCAGACAGCTTCTCGCACCTCTGCAGCCCGAAAGCGCCATGACAGCTGCTGGCTCAAGACGCTTGCCACATTAACATGTGCAGCACGTGATGGTGCCGAGCATTCTCTCCGAGAAGTGTCCTGGACCTGCTCGACATCTGTATGTCACACCACACCCAAAGAAACAGATGAGTCGCATGGCTTTTCACAGAACTGATATTGCGCCGCTGCTCTTCACAAGCCGAGAAAATTACGATACGACGATGCCTCCCCCACTCATTCAACACTCACCAAGGAATGCAGGATTGCGGAACGCATGCTACCTGTAGAATCAGCAGGGGAGCATACTGGTGTCCGAATGTTGTCATGCCGAGAAAACCCTGAGCCGGATGGGCCTACACCTCGTTGTCGCTACCGTTACTACACTTGCCGCTTACATACAGCTTACATAAAAGTCGAAACCCCTCCGTTGCTCACGATGCAGATCAGTGGCTGTTGCTGTCAGGGCTTTGTTAAAAAGCCTCATATGAAGTTTGGGGAGCAACAGCCATATGAAAATATGGCTAACGAGGGAACACTCGGTAGAATTTAGCATGGATGCTGCGATCCTTTGTCGAAAGCGGAAAATCAAGTGACATCATGGTGTCGGGAACCGATGGGGGCCGGCGAGAGTTAGGGCCGGCTTGAGCAGCACGACCCGCCAAAGAGGGTAGCTCCCCAGACAACCTTGGAGCCTGGCTCCCGCAAGCGGCCTTCGAGCGGCTGTGCCCAGGGCTCCGAACACACGTCCACTCCGTGACCAGTCTTGTAGCTTCAACTACCACAAGTGTCGCCGCAGTGACCGATGATTAAAGTTTCGCAACTACTACGTATTCATGTTTTTGCCTATGCTTCGTACTTCTTACTCCAACCTTTGTTTCTACGACTAGCAGAACTACTCTTGTGATTGCCATTGTCTCTAGTACAGACTGAGGAGTACAATGCACCTGCATAGCTCGATGTACTGGTTGCACAATGTTGCATGACCGGAATCTTGTTCTTGGTCTGAAAAATGCATTCACTCCCATGTCGGGCTGTCAAGTCTTCTTGCTGGCTTTCATATAGCTACCGTGTGTAGCCCGTTTAGCACTACTCCACCATGGCAACTGTGTTCATTTCAATCATTCGCTGTTGCGTCACTGCTGCCACGACTACCACGACGACGAGAAAGAAGACCAGCTCCAAAACCACCACTACGACCGCGACCGCAACAGCGACCGCAACCGCGACCGCGACACCACTACCACTACGACGACGACTCCTATCTTTCTGCACCTCCTATTACGGCTTCTGCCGCTTCTCCTCAGTGCACGACGACAAGCACTACATGCTTTTCCGTCCTGTTTTCGATATGTACCACCACTGAAACTGATATTCCCTGCTGCTGCTGCTGCTGCCGCCGCTGCTGCAAGTGAGCCAATGTTGCACTTATTGGTATCGGCGTTCCCTTGGCTAGCGGCTAGTGTATTGCTGTTGTCGCGACGGCAGACTGTGGCTCGTGATATTGAGATTTCTGGTGCTTTTGCTGCTACGATCATTAGTGCTGTCAGTCTGGCCAACATACCTTCTACTACCATTCCGAATTCTTGCTACTCTGCTTCACTGCGCCTAATGATCAGGAGTGGTTCGTGTAGTCATGTTACTCCTCTCATGGACTCAACCATTCTACATCCCATGCTTAGTCAATGAGCGGTCGGCCAAGTTCGTACATGTGTGTATTTATGTGTGTGCACGAGATCGTATACGATATTGCAGCCCCAAACGCTGCAAAGGGGCAGGACAAGGATAAGGCAAAGGTGTGTTTCGGAAGCACCGGACGCTCATCGCCTGCCAAACGAAACGGTTTCGAAAAAATTCTGGTGCCCCGATTGCTCAGTGCTCGCCAAGAGCTGTGGCCCGTGCACATGGCATTCTTTGACGGTTCACAATCACCCTAGACTAACAAGACCAGCAGCCCTTGAATACGCGAGCAGCCGAGGCTGCAGAAGCTGCCTCCGAGTAGCGCGGCTCCGCGGCCTCAAACCTTGAGGGCCTGGAGCAAGTGCTCCCTTTGCTCGGCCAGCGCTTCCTTCTTCTCCGCCGGCAAAATCACGAGACGTGCCAAGAACACGGATGCTCCAGTGATCAGGACGGACGCCAGCTTCGCCAAAATAGGGTTTGTCACACAAACGCCACCCACGTAAACACCTTCGGCAAGAGGTGCTGGTGCCATTTCGCAAACCAAGACAGCGCCCACTGAAAACTGCCGACACTCACAGCAGCGCTTTCCTTCTGCTGGCTAACGGCTGCAGCGCGTTGCAGCACGTAAGCGGTCAGGCAGCAGTTCGCCATGCTGGCAAGCAAGTGCGGCAGCAACCAGCTGTTGTCTTCCATTCGACCCAGAAATATCTCCGCGAAGGGCGGGAACATGCCAAGCAGTGCAAAAGTCGAGACATGCAAATGGGCAGCGCGGTCCCCGTTTCGTCCAACAACTCGCCACAACAACATGTCCAACCGCTCCCACTCTCAAAACTCCGAAAAGGAGCACCCGTTACTGCAACATCTGCAGCGTAACATCAGCTCTGCAAAATTTCAAAACTCCCTTCCACGTGCAGCCCCACAAAACTCCAGTGACGCCAGCTCTGCCCTCATCGCCTCCACCTGCTCCTCCAACGGGGTGTCCACCGCGAGCTTCCGGATGAACCGAGATCCCATCGGCCAACGTGGACGAACTCTGTGCACATCACCACAGTCTGGTAGCTGCCGATCCGATCTGTTTAAAATAGTAAGTCTCGCCGCGGGCCCTGATGGCTACCGAATCGCCAGTTCGTGGGTTGCTCGAGGCATTGTACGAACTTAGTAACTTAGACCCGAGAGGGATGTGAGCGAAGGAGGTAGCCGCGGGGGTCTGGAAACTGCTCACATGCTGAAAGTACAAGGCTGCACCGGCAACCCGAATGATGACGGAATCGCTCCAGTCGTCCGCAAAAGTCACATCTGCAGTGAACTGTGAACTTAGCGCCGCCCGTCACAGCTGTCCAATGGGAGATCCGGCCGGTAAACGCCGAGATGCAGGCCCACTGTTCGTAAGCAACGTCAAAGTCGTCTCGATTCGGCCAGTACGACAGTGCGAACCGCTCTGTCAAAACGATCATGGAGCGGCTGAGCCGCAAAGATCTCGCTGACATCAAGGATGCAGAGACGGATCCTCACAATAAAGCACACCAGCCACACGGAGAAACATACAGAAGCGGGCAGCAGCGCTTCAGGGAAGCCCGCATCGCCGAGTCGAGTCTCTCCTGCGCTTCCGGAAGCCTCTCCGTCAGCGCCCGAAAACCGTCGGAGCTGCTCACCGTCATCAGAAGTCCCAAAAAGGAGAAAGCCTCCATGGCATGGAGTGCGTGACTGCATTGCTCGAAGCCGTTGGTCATGAGGACTCTGCAAACTGCAATGGCGCACATCATCGCCGACCAGAGCTTGGCGAAGTTCAGAAACACCTTCCGCCAGTATCCGACCCAGCCCACTGGTGCAAGCCCAATCGGAAATTGACGGAGGCCACTCACACTTGCTGTGAAGCGGCCTGCAAAACAGCAGGCTTTGGCATCACCACTTCGAGACACCTCGAACCAGAGCAGCTCCACTGCTCTCGATCCAGCTGCATCTACGGGCGGCATCTGCGCAGTACAAGCTTTGCACTTCCCCCCACGGCATGGATGAAGGGACCGCTGTGTCCGAACATCCCCATCCTGTTCTTCTCCTAGCCCTCCTGCCGCACGGCAATGCAGGACCTGCAACTCGGCATCTTCTGACAAGATGTCGTGTGCGCTTGCTCGCCACTGGCATCTCCGCCTGAATCGATGGCAGAACATCCACAGGTGCCTGCACCCGATCGACTGCCAGCTCCGGGCTCCAACCTTCATCAAGAAAGCAGGGGTCAATTCGGAGCAACTCATGAAGCCGCCTGCTCGGACTAGCATAAGCTCTTGCGAGGAAAAGAGCTCACGATGACCACCGGTCAACAACCGGATGCAGCATGCATCGCAGAAGCCGAGCAGACGAGTGCCCGAATAATTCCCCTACTGGCAACAAAACCTAGAGCTAGTCGGAATTAATCGCCGATCCTGTGTAGCCCTCAACCGGCAACTACGAGCCACATTGCGCTGAGCCCCTCACTCGTCTGCAAAGACTTTCAATGAGGTCTCCATCAGCGCACGCTTTGAAGTCAAGCCACAGACCTCCACGAAGTACACCGCCTGCAGGCAGCTGCTTCACTCCAGCGTTGTGATTTTCAGACTGTGAAGTGCTGGGAGAGACGGAGCGAGAAGCAACTGCATCTCCGAACGCAACCCGCCTCGTCGCCGTAGCGGCGTAAAACTTCGTCGCCTCGGCAACTCGGATTAAGCGGTCTAAAGCTCCACAGTTTATATATATATATACATATTTGAGGTTAACACATACAGCAGCAGGACTGATGGATGGCGAAGTGTTGTCGTTACAGCTGTTGATGTTGCCGTCGTTGCCGTTGCGGTGGGAGTAGGCGCAGCAGTAGTCGGAGTAGGAGTGGGAGTAGGAGGAGGAGTACGAAGAGGAGGAGTCGGAGAAGCAGCAGACGTAGGAGTAGGAGGAGAAGTAGGGGTAGGAGTCGGAGTGTAAGCAGGAGTGGGAATGGGAATAGGCATTGAAATAGTAGAAGTAGCAGCAGTAGTAGCA